TACATTTTGCCCTACTCCATGTCCAATTTTTAGATAAAGCAATAGCTTTGCTATTTGTTGTGACTTCCCAAAAAAAAAAAAAAAAGAAAAAAAAAGTGGTTCTGTGCCTGTTCCAAGAAGCTGCCTACTCCTAGAGAGCTGGTATTGCCTATTTCCTCATCAAGCTGCAGTACCAAGCAGGTTTTCTGGCATCTTTAAAATTCTCCCAATATCTCAAGGTCTTTTAGCTTCAGGAAATATAAACTAATGCTCCAGTGATTTTGCTTTTCACCTTGCTCTGATAGCAAGTTGAATGTGAAATTCAGAAACTCATATGAACTATATCAGTTAAAGAAAGTAATTTTCTATGTAACAATGAACAGAAGTGAATTATCATGGCTCAGAGCCAAAAAAGCATTGATTTATTTCTGTTAGTGTTTGAAGTTTTGTCATGCTGTAATGCTATGTTTAAACCTTCACTGTATGTACAGGAGGCACAATAAGGTGGAATTTCAAGGAACTAGAAATATGTTTGAAAGAGGATCTGTTGCTTTTGCCAACTTCCCTGTCTTCTACCCAGTACTTCCACTCACAAAGCGTCCTTCCTTCTCTGAGTCATTTAAGCCTTAACTACACATTGCATCAGACTCCTGGAAAAAGCATTTCCATACACTGGTCTGCTGGTGAACAATCACTTCTTGGACAAGGATTGCCGTTCCAGACTACGCCCAACAGACCGTGTCAGTTGCTGTGTTGAAAAGACAAAAATAAAACTAAAAACCTTCACCTAAAATGCATGAAATGTAAACATGAGCACTGCCACTAATATCTTAGTGATTGAAAACTTTTGAAAACTACCCACATTTATCAGTCTTCTAGAAGAAGAAACAAGACAAAGACATTTACTCAAACCCAGCACATATTTATCTATTTCTTTCTTTCTCTGTGTCACAGCCTTCTTTTACTGATATTGAATACAGAGTGTGAGTGTGCATGATTCCATACATGTGCACTACCACTGTAAATGTATTTTGGCAATCTGCTTTTATTTTCAAAATCTTTTTCAATTCATGTGTAATAGGAAGGGCCACTTACAGACGAAAAGCTACAAAATGCTATGATGATGCCTTATCTTCAATGATGACTCTTCCTGGCCATTACTCTCTAATGTTGATTCCTTCTCTCTTTTTTCCTCTCCAATTTTGTGGAGAAAAATTGCACTATCCTGAAAGAGGTCTTGTTACTATGTGATTTTCTGGACCATGTCTAACATATTTGAATCCAGCTATGCCTATCCCTCTTCTTTAACATCCCTTTGCTCTTTCTTCCATGGTTCTACATGATTGCTTACCCCATTTATCTTATCCTGCCTCATACCTTTTTGTCCGAGAATCAAGTACTGCACACTCTGGGATTGTTTTCTGCCCAAGACAAATAAATGTTGTCTTCCTCCCTCTGATTCTACCAGAGTTCTGATTTTGGGTTAGGTTGCAACTTCACTCCATTTGCTCAGTTTTACTTTAAAGAACTGTTTCTTCTGTGACATTACAATAAAGTACATGGATACAATAGCTTAGTAGAAAGGCATGACCATGGACCAGACAGAAACAGTGACCAGCCACTGTAGAAAGCCTTGTGTGCTACTTTCAGAATCACTTCCACTGGTTTGTTAAGGTGATAAAACTGTGCAGACAATAATGCTTCAACATAGAAGTCTCATTTGAATTCACTTTTTTTTCCCTTATTGATTAAAGCAAACAAAAAATTGCATTTAGAGAAATGTGGCCTTGTCAGTTTGTAGGGTGAGTTTAAACCACCCTTCACAGCTGCGTCTATGTTTCAGCGTGTTGCTGACACAGCAGTGCAAGGATAAGCAGGAAAAAGCACTCCCCAGCTTACACAACTTTATCAGCAAATCCTCCTGGTCTGAGTGCAGCTAAGTTAGCAGGGGAGCGCTGTTGTCAGCTTAGTTACTTATATTTAGCATCAATCCATACTTTCTCATCTATCATCAGAAAGAGTTCTTTTCCCAAAATGCACTGTACCTGCAGAGAAAAGTCTACCTGTGTAACCACACCAGCACAGCTGTACCAGCAGAAGCTTTCCAGAACAGAGTTGAAAAGCAAATTGGTACCTGTCCACACAGCCTACCAGCTATGACACTAAACAAACATCTCAGTGTCTACTTTGTTCAAAACATTTCTAGTGCAAGCTACAACACTCCTACTTCTGATCGGCCAAGAGCATGGCTACATTTGTAATTTTAGAACATACAGAAAATTCCTGAGCATCTTCAATAATATTTACCAACTGTGCACAGTTACTTGATTCTGAAAAATGGTCAAGAAAAAAGAAAACAAAGGAGAAGAAAAAGGAAAAAAAAAGTTAAAAAAAAGGGAGAAAAGAAAAAAAGAAAGATGTCCACAAACCTCTCTGTAGCTCAATACATTATTTGACCATACTAGCAACAGACCTCCTCCTAACTATAAATTCTTGCATACAAACAGCACAAAGCAGAACAAATACTACAGCAGACATTTTAATATTTCTTATTGCTCTGAAATAACACAAATTCCCATACAAGTGGTAACTGAAAAATTACTGCCGTCTGAGCAAGGCAGAGCTTAGTTGATACAGTTGTGCAGACTTTTGAAATAGCTGATCTCGGTGTTTGGATGTTCTTGAAGACTGTGCTCATCGGCTGCAGTAAGTGAGTCCCAGCAGTGACTGCAGCGTTGTTGTACTCCTTGAGAGCACCTGGACTCTGGCAGATCTCCTTCTCAAACAGCAGTGGAACAGTGGAACCTGTACACAGCCTCAGCTGCCCATGTCACATATCTGTAAGCAGAAAAGTTAAGCAGGAACGCTGCTAAAATACATGTTTGGACCACATTCTCCTTCCAAGTACTGTATTGCTTCTTGTGATACTCAGTCAGTACTATTTTGTAAGCCCTCTTCAAGGACACACTCTTTGTGGTCTCAGATCACCTTGAGTTATGGGCATAAACAATTGTACCCAACTTACACGATGAGGTCTTGAAAGGTTCCTCTCTCCAAATCCTTTGCATTTCCAGAACCTTGGCAACACAGGTTTGTGTAAGAGATAAAATAAAACATGGGGTAAGGAGAAAATATAAAAGTTAATGGAAAGGGAATGGAAATAGTGTCCTTGCCTACTAGAAAGTAAACAGCAGAGAGCCCAGTCCAGCTCTATGTGATCAGCCCACGGGTCTAAACTGGCAGCAGCCCTCCACAGTAGCAGACAAATGCCCTTGCAGTTCTTCTTGACACAAGAGTAGCTCCATTTGCAGCTCAGACTTATTCACATGAACAAACAATGCAATAGTTAGTTGCTTCCAGTACAAAATTCTGCAACACAATAAAAGCTTAAACACAAGGTAATATACACTGAATATAATGAAAACTTAATAATAAAGTTAAGGTTGTACTGACCTGATTACGTAACTCAATAAAACCTCCTCTGCTAAAATGAAGTTCCATGTGGCTGCACCAGACTGACACAAAAGTTAAACGGCGTCACTTCAGAATCCAGGTCAACTGTCACAAGGATGACAGATGGCTAGGGCTGTCTAGACGTAATCTAATTACATTTCCCCTTGACAAATATCAACAATGAACAAATGGAAAGAACTGAAACACAGTTTTAACATGCATATTAATACTAATGGTAGAATGTCACAACTGAAAGTACCTCATTCTAACAGCAGCAGGCCTAATTTAAATTTATCTTGCTACAACCAAGCAAAGTTCCACTCATGATTTTGCAGATTCCACTTCACTTTAGCTAATAGACATAGATCATATTACATTTATGTTTCTTGTGTATTTCTTTAATGCTGATAAAACCCGAGGTTCAGAATTTTAAGAGGGATCCTACTTAAAGGACACAAATAGATGATACTACCCATAGCATATTTATCTATAAGTATCATTGAAATTACAGCTTTCACCTGTGGACTGTGATCTAGAAAGATCTATGAGACATTTTATTTTTTTCAGTTCTTAGAAGTAAAAATCCCAAAAGTAAATCCCACAGAGAACAGAAACCCCCTGTAACTCAGCACTGTTTTCTCAGGAGCCATACTCCAAAGAAGAACATTAACCCATACCTATTTTGTTGGCAGAAGTGATGTATCCTTGGACCAGAATTGCTGAGAAATCTACAGACAAATAAACCCTCTGAGCCTCGTATCATCCCAAAGCCATAAATGAAGTGGGTACAATGATTGGAGAACTTTAAAACAGAGAAAGGTTAAAGCCACCACCCAGTAACTGACTCAATAATTGGAAATAATTGTAAAAGGTAAAGTGGAAAAAAAATATGATGGATTTTGTTATAAACTGATGTCCTCTTCCATTAAAGTTTCCTTCTACGGACGTAGCGAGTTTTGCATTTCTTTCTAAGGAGTACGCTGAAGAATTAGTCTGTATGGTTCAATCGAAAAGGATTAAAGTCCAAAAACATTCATACTCAGAATGCCACGAAGTGAAACCTGACTCGTGGGAACACTTTGGAACCACGGGAACCGCGCGGGGGAACGTCCGAGCCGGGGGCTGGGGCCGGGTCGGGGCCGCCACCGCCCGCCACCCGCGCTCCTTCGCTGCGATTGGCCCGGCCGGACCCACCCGGCAGCAATCTCACTTCTGATTGGATTAAACTTCCCGGCCGCTCCGGGGGGCGAATGAGGAGCAGTGTTGTTTTCGTGTGCCAAGATGGCGGCGCTCAGTGCCGCTCCCGTGGAAGGCTATGGCGGGGAGTGAAGCCTGAGGCAGAGGGGCCGGGTCGGGGCCGCGGACGCGGACGGGGATGAGGTGACGCCGCCATGGCGAGCGACGGGGGTAGGAAGCAGTTCTGGAAGCGGAGCGGCGCGAAGGTGCCGGGCAGGTAAGCAGCGCCGCGGGAAGGTCGGGGCCCAGGACGGCGGTGCCGGGCCGCGGGGGGCGGCGCTGCCCGGCCTCGGCAGTTCGGCATCGCTGCCTCCACAACACCGCGTTCTTGCTGCCCAGTTCAGCGGAACCCCGCAGTGTGTCCCCCCTGCACGGACCGTGTGCGGTCGGTCCCTACTCGAACCCGGTGCCTTGTGAGCTCCTCTCCCGGAGCCTCCAGGCGCGGGCACCGCCGGGGGCCCGGGGGAGATGCTGGTGGTCTCAGTAAGGGTTAGTTATAACTTATATCAGAAATTGTTAACTAATTATCTGAATGTGCGCTCCTAGCCTGACATCGTGGTTAAAAGAGTCAGCGTGATTCTGCGAGTTGGTTCGCCGGGAGATTTTGAGTGGGAGAATGCGTTTGGCTTTCGGCAGCAGTACAAGTCAGGATATTTTGAAACTTGATACAAGTTTTGGTGTTTTTTAAATGCTTTGTAGGAAACTGGATTTTATGGGCACAGAGACAACTTTTAGTTTCTGGTGGATATTTCCAGATATCATCAGTTTCTCGACTTTCTTCCTGAAGTGTGAGCAGCAGACCAGTCGTTGTGTCGTTGCAAAGAACTAAAAGACACATTCTCTCATTCGAAGTTTTCCAGGGCATGCACCTCTAAAGTCTTCTGAACTCTCTTGACCATTATATCAGGCTGGGAATGCATGTTCAGATGATAGTTTAGCGATAACATTCTCTGCTCTTATCCCTCGACTGTTCTCACAGTACAGTTTTTTATGTTCTTTTTGTGAGAATGGAGTGTATTTGTGGTTCTCTGCACTTCGTACCATTTACTTGAATTCAACAACGCTGTCCTGCTCATCATTTACCTTCCTATGTTTTCAGTGACCCATAAGCCCTGACTGGAAGTGGCTTTGTTTCTCTAGTTATAAACTAACTTTTTCAGTCTAAGGTTGCCATTCCTCTAAACCTTTTACTTTGTAACTTTGCTGAGTCCCTTGAGAGTAAAACATTTTTGACTCTTCTCTCCATTGCGCAGTGTTTATGAATAGTTGCAGTTAATTTGCAGGCAACTGTAGGCGTGTGGCAAAACAAGGACACTGGGGAGAATGTGCTTTTGATTTTTCTTTTTTTTTATGGCATGGAGAGGATTGTTGTTGCTTTATATTTGTTTAGATTTCCATTGTGGGTATTGGTAGAGCAGTGTAAGGAAAAGGCAGATTCTGTGTGGAAGTGGACAGTGACACTTGAGCCTCATGTGAAGGTAGAGCAAGAAGCACAGAGACTTGACTGTGGAGAGTATGGAATACAGTCATGTGGGAAGGCTGGTGGTGGACTGACTTTTTTTCCCACGGAATCACATAAAAATCATCAGAGTTTTTATAAACCACCGGTCTCAGTCACTGCCAGGGCTAATTTCACTAGTGTTAATGCTGCCCCTGTCCTGTGAGTCAAAGCCTTTTTTAAAGTTTTTTATGACTACAGTTTTTTTGGCTTGGTTCTATCTCAGGTTTACAGTTTGGACTTATTTATATTTCTGGTCTGGAGATTGTTCTTTATTTGTCAGGAGACCATGTTTGTCTTTTTTTATGTGGTTTTTGGTACAGGTTTAGGTAGATGCTAGTGTTGCATATGATTCGCTTCTCTTATAATCAGAGTTTTGTAGTAATAATTGCTATTATGAAGTCACATGTAAATCTGGATGCATTTTCTGTGGAGTATTTTAGTTAAAAATGATTTTATAGCTGATAACTGGGAGATTATGAACGTTTAGTTTGTAGGGAGTTTTGTTTTTCACACAATAACATGCTGTTTTATAATGTTAGACACTGTAGTGAATAAATCTATCTTTGGAAGCCTATTTGTTTAAAAGCATTTTTTAATACCTCTATGGCTTTTGTTCTCTAACATGGCACCATTTGCATTTTTCTTTGAATTTGTCATCCTTTTAGTAGTGGTTAAAAATTGTCTGTTTGGATTTTGGGTGACAAGGGTACACAGCAGATTAAATCTTTACAGATATTTCTTTGAGAAATAATTTTTTTTGCAAGAGACAAATGAAGAAATGATGAAGCAGAGAAGAGAATTTTAAAGCAATGTAGATTCTTATTGCAGAGTTAACTTATTTCTTGTTTTAAATCCTGGTCAGAAAAATAAGACAGACTAAGTTAGTTTAGCTCTCACAAAGAGCTCCTATTTGGCAAATCTGTGATTTTTTTTAAGTAACATTTTAGTATGCACATCAATTGCAGCCTCACTGTTTTTGGTGGTACGTGGAATTCTTTGAAACAGAAAACCATTGGAACATTTCAGTTCTGTTTATTTAATACACAGAAACCCTCCAAATATTTATTACTTTCGTGATGACTTTCTTTCTTTTCCTTTAGTATCCAACATGTGTATGGAGCTCAGCATCCACCTTTTGATCCATTATTGCATGGAACGTAAGTTAATTTATTATTTAAATATTCCAGGTATTTTGGATTTCCAGTTATTTTGTCATCTTTTTTTTTTTTTTCCCCTGTTGGCTATTAAGTTTGTTGTTAATCTTACTTTTTCAGTTTTAGTCATAATCTTGACTTCCCTGTTCTGACTTCTCTTTTGTGGCTTCCTGATGCTTACCACATTGGGAGCAACAAATCAGCTCTTCAGCTCTTAACTAATGCAGATTACCAACTTTTAGTATTTATTTGAAATGCCCTATACATGGGAAATTATGCTAAGGACAAAAAAAAGCGTTATAAGGACAAATATTTGTTTGGAAGAACCTTGTGCTTCTACTAGACTTTTTTTTAAGAGCTGTTTTAAAATGGTGCAAGAAGTAAAAATTCTGTTTAATTTTTCAGATAATACAAAATTGAAGGCAGTTGAAATGTGTGATTTTGTGGGCTGAAGTAAAAGAAATGGGATTAATTAATTCAAAATACAGACTCATAAAGAGAAAGAAAAACTAGAAGCTTATTGCTTTAAATGGCAGAATTGGAGAAAGACCTTGCTGTTTTAGACAGTGATGACAAGTTGGGCGAAAGAGTGTTATAGCACCTGTTAGGGAAGATATTCCCTGTAACATGTAATAGAAACTCTCTGACGTTGTATGAGGACTCCGTGAGAGCTTTTTCTGAGTTGCAATTCTGCCTGCCTTATCGTACCAGAAAAAATAATAAACTAGCTCAGGTGGGAAGACAGGGATGGTCAGAAATATGCTCAAGAACAGTATTGCCACAGTTCCATGCCATGTGTTCAGGATGACCCTGCTTGAGCAGGGAGGTTGGGCCAGATGACCCACTGTGGTCCCTTCCAACCTGACCCATTCTGTGAAAGCACAGTTAAGCTACTGGCAGTAACTTTTTTATTTTTTGAGAGCAGACTAAGAAACCTTCTGAATTTTATACCTTATTCACTGAATTCTGAAGGGAGATGTAATTGCTCTGCATCATTTTCAGTGAGAACAAGTGCCAGGCGAGGGAGTGATATTGGTTCATATCTCACACTGCACGTTGATAGAGGGACAAAAGATTAGGAGCTGATCAGGGTCCACTTAGACTAGTAAGCAGAGGAGATATCTTGCCTGTGGGAAGAGCAAAGTTCTGAAACAAATCCACGCTGGCATGCCTGAATGGGGAGGAATGATAGATTTAATAAGTTTAAGGTGAGACTTGATTTGTTTATGACAGTGGTTGTATTGCATGACTGCTTATGATGACTTAGGAGTAGACCATGACTTGATTATGGCTCCTGTGCTGTTGTACAGCAGTTGCATTGAAAGGGATAAAACCTCTACAGAAATTTATGAAGCAAGAGGAGTGCAATGTGTCCTGTCTCTTTTGTAAGCTATTCTAGTAGTAATCCTTTTATTTGACTTGGGGGTTGGTCTTTTTTTTTTTTTTTTTTTCTTAGCACAAGGGAAGGAAAGATTTGTTCAACTTCTATTCAAAGAGAAGAAGAGTCAGTTTTTACAACCTTTGTTCTCAGACTTCTTCAACTGTGTGTTATCATGGATGGATGTAGCAGTAACATGAGTGGAGGGAGATAAATATTTTCTACCTATATTGTATCAAGTATGTATTTTGCTTTTTAGTCCTATCCATAGCTTCATTACTAGTTTTCTAAATATTGTTTATTTGGTTTTGAACAGCTTGGTAAAACCAGGTTCAAAGCCTCCTACAACTCCAGTGAAACTGAAGAAAGTCAGCACCTTCCAAGAATTTGAAAGTAACACAAGTGATGCCTGGGATCTTGGGGATGATGATGATGAACTGTTAGCAATAGCTGCTGAAAACTTAAATACAGAAGTGGTCATGGAAACAGCTCACAAAGTAATTCAGAATCACAGCAAGCTACAAGAACAGCATAAATTTCAGGAAGAACATCTACAGGAAGAAAAACAAGAGGAATTTGCACAGCTGACTTCAGCTGCATGTGGTGATAATAGGCTTGTTAAATCAGTCAGTGAAGGTCATACAGCGAGTGCATCAGGTATATTAAAAAGTGAAAAAGATGTTGAAAGTTAAACGAAGAGAGCTATAATATTTGCCCTGTAAAACAATAGCCACTTCCCAACATTTTCTTGATACCACAGGAGAATACTGTTTATTAACATTGATTTGTCTGAGGGAGAGACTGCATGCCATACTAAACCGTAATGTATGTGTGTGAGAAGTACATGTGTGAGGCAAGAATAATTAAACTTCCTTTGTTTTCAGCCTTAATAAATCTTCAGTTTTGGAAG